CGTCATTACTGTAGTTGAACTGAAGCTGCATGTGAAGCTGTTTCTCTGTTCACAGGAGTCAGGAGGAAACTCTTCTCTACAGATTGTTGAGTAATTATATTTCTCAGGATATTGAAACTTATACATTATAATGCAGCATTCAGACTTCTTCAGAGAGACGCTGCAGTTTAAAGTTACTTCTTTCCTCACAGTTCCAGTCACATTCTCACAGCTTACACTGAAGTCATCTGAAAAATAACAATGCATATCATATAATACAGCAAATCATGTGAGTATAATGCTTGGGGGGCTGTGGGACGTGTCCCATGCACTTTTAATAAAACATATACTATTTGTCCCTCGCACGTTTTTGGGCAAGTGTGTTCACTAGAGGTTTCATGGGCCAATATGAATAAATCTAGATTTAATTTCAAAGAGACATGATAGTCCATGAATGACCAGACGTTTTATTCTTCTCCAAAACGAGGCGATGCGTTTCATTCACACTGGAAGCCGGAGGGCGCTCTCTCGCAGAAAGTCCCAAACAGACTCATGGAAGTTATCATTTATGACGATGCAGGAAATCCCTTAAATGGACAAAAGCATCCAGAAATGTTTTGACTGATGAAACGAAGACAATAAACACACAATTGCGATAAATTATAGGATTTATGTGTTTTTCAATCCATCTCGGGGTATTTTCATAACAATAAAGTAAATGAATAATGTAGTGAATATAAAATAGAAGTGATATAGCCTCTATTACAGTATAGAAACTATGAAAATATGTTTCTGCCTTATTCTATAAAAATGACATTTTGTACATAAAATGCATGATGAGTTAATGCATAAGTGTTTGTAGTAGGCTACATAAACCAATCATAAAATTGTCATTAGGACAATACAGGGAAAAAAATTATGGAATAAAAGTTGGTTATTGTTCAGCAGTGCATTTGATTTCTTAGCCATAAAATCATGCCATTTCTGGTAATGAGAGAGTTTAATATATTTATCATTTATGAATTGTACCCTCATGATGAGCACCATTCATTGCTAAAACCAGTATAATTCAGCAGTTTTTATAAAACACAAAATATAAAATGCCAAGTGAATGAATAAACAATAAACTAATTTAAAACGGGTTGCTTATGTGACTAAATGCACATTTGCCACTTGTTCTGCTTATATAGAAATAAAGACAAATTAATCTATAGCATATGATTACCAAATTCAAAAAAAGAAGAAAACTGCAGGAAATATAGGATATTTATGACAATGTTGTCTCCGGATCAGTGTTTTGTAACCCTTTCTAACAGATGTACTGTATCTGGATGAAACTTTCCTTCTTTTTTTTTAATCATCTGCACCAGATATACCGGTAATTGAACAAATACAAGATCCAGCAGACTTGATTTGAAATGTAATGATACTTATCTAAAGGACATGAACACATTGGTTGATGAAAAAAAAAGACCTTCAGTATAAAAACACATTAATTGGAAGAAACAACATGTTGGATTTCCCTCACTTATTGTGTAATGCTCCAAAAAAAGTATATCTTAAGTAAGATTTTTTTGTTATTTTACCATCATCAACTTGACAGACGGAAGTAAATGTCAAAACCAGAACCAACAGTTGCACAGCATTTACAGCACTCATGGTTTTGTTTCTGCAATAAAAAAAATGAAATTTGTATTTAGAATTAATAAGGAGGAACCACAAATTAATGGTAGATAAAGACTTTAAAGAGGACGATTCACTTACGTTTGTCTTCACTGTGTGAGTCTTATAATAGTGTGAGCTGTGTGAGCAAATAAATAGACATAAGTTTAAGTTTCAGAATTACTTCACTTCCTGTCCTGGCTCTATCTGACTCTATAGAGAACTGATGTTTAAGAAGAAAAAAAAAAGAAAAAAAACTGTGGTAGGCCTATGCCACAAACCTGTAGTTTTGCTATAGCATGCTGCTTAGAGTCACTTACACTGTTTGAACTGACGTCAAACTAAGCATTAAACGCTTATTGCATTCCAATATTTGTTATTTTTAATACATGTATGCAAGGAACTCACACAACATAATCCCATCTAACATCATCTGACTCTGGCGTGTACTAAATATACTGTAATAAATACATAGGCCAACACTAAACATCCTAAAAAAGACCTCTAGAAACTCTAATTTAAAAACGCTGACCCGTCAAAAGTGTTTGAATACACTTCACACAATGTGCAAATCAAGTAAAGCACTAATTGTAAAATGAACAATTCTGAACTGATTTAAATAACTTAACTTCTGCTGTTTTATTAGCTACTAAAATGCAATCAAGAACTTCACACGGTACGTTTGGTGCATTTCATTATAGTCTGTCATTTATTTCTGTATTCTAGGCCATCATAAAGAGAGGCTGTACAAACACGGTCCTTACAGAACTTTTTACAAGCGAACCACATACTGTATGAAAGACCAGGAACAAAGGGAAAGAATAAAGAAACGTCAAAGAAATAAAAAGTAAACAAAACAACTCAGTGTTTCCTTCACTTTCAGTCTATAACAATTTCCGTTTTGTCCTCATTTACAATTATAACAAGCTTAAACGAGCAGCAATCCTCCATCAAGAGTCATCAGACGACACTCAACCAACAACAGAAATGATGCATATATTCACCTCAGAACAAACAAGACACAAGATGCAAATGAGAGCAGAAGACTTTCATGCTGTTTATGTACATTCAGGTGCTGCTTAAATAAAAATATAGTATTATAATGATAATCATATTGGTCAGAGACGACTGATTTCAACATAGCAGGACACGACAGACGCTCATTGTCATCGTGTGTGTGTGTGCAGAATTAGAGAGACAGCAGACAATAAATCGACAGGTAACCAGACGAGTGGTTACGCCAAGACACATTACTTCAGTCTACATGAAAAGTAAACAAAATGACAAATAAATATGTATACAAAGAAACACAAACCCAACAATGCGTCAGTGAATCGTTCTTCTAGTGCTCGTGGCATTAGTGTGTCTGAAGACAGCGCTCTCTGCTGGTAGAAGAATGCATTGCAAGGGTTACATTATATTCATGACACCTGAGCAGAGAATGGCTTTCCCACTTTATATAAACGCACAAGACTATTCAACATCATGCTCTCTGGATATACAGCGCTGTATTGATAAGGTGTACTATATTATAGGTACAACAGCAGATTTCATCATCGAAATCAACTCTAGTGGTTGATGATGAATTGAGTGAATCTCATAAAACTGGTCAAGAACCAGGTCATAATTTCACCCCCAAATCAATAAAAACACAATGTTTTGGATGATGAAGCCTATTTTTAGGACCATTATGGTTTTTGCATTGTATATATACTGTATACATATATGTGTGTGTGTGTTGCCAATCCCAATAATAAAATCATTTTATGACAGCATGTTTGTCACTCTAACAGAATCTAATGAGCATTGTCACTAAAAATAATGGGAATTGCAAAATAAATGCATTAAAGTCCTGGGATTTGGAGATGAAACGTTGTGCAATTGTCATGGAAATAATGTCACAATGTCAATATCAAATAAATAAATCCCTAATGGTCCTAAAAAAATAGTTTTTTTTTTAACTTTGGGGTGAAATGTGACTTGGACATGATTTTTTTTTTACAATATTCACCCAAACAACATTACAAAGTTCATAAACACTTTTTTTTTAATTTATTTTTTTACTTATAGACCTCTTGTATTTCTTTTTCCCTTTAGACTCACTGTAACAGTAAGACACGCCAGTTTCGACTCAAGACTCAAGAACACCACTGAAACACCACACAGTATCTGCAAAAGGAACAATGGAAGAAAAACGATGCTTGAGACTGAAATGTGATGCCAGAATCTCCTCACCATGGTGAAACAAACAAGGGTTTCAAGCACCCGTTCGAAGTATTGGTCATCGTGTCACAGGAAGCCGCGTGCCGTGTATTTAAACATCCACATATGCGTTGATCACACAAACAGGCCTATGCTGAATATTGCATGTGGCAGTTTGGATTTTAACACACCACATTCATTATAAGTTTTAAAACATTCCTTATATAGGTGATATATTTTTGCGCATATACAGACTCTCTTTCCTCGGTTACATAAGAAAGCAATAAGGGGAAGTGCGTCTTAAACACCGACTAACTGCATTTAACAGGAAAAAGATGACATTCAGTGCGCTGCGTGGGTAACAGGTCCGTGTGACTCGTGAACTACACACCGCGTGCCTCCTACCGGCTCCAAAACACCAAAGATTGTCACTAGTCAGCCATGCCGTACACAGCAGACAACATTCAGCCAAGAGAATAATGCAGAAAGACAAGGACAAGAAGCTAAAATAGAGATATTCAAGAAATGAACTATACAGACAAAATCTACGCGTCTCTGTTCGTTCGCTTGACTGCAGAAATCATTTTCTCAAACGGTTTATATTGTTTGCTTGCTTTTTGCACAAAAAATATCCAAACATCCTTTTGCATATTAACAGAGATGATATCTTGAATTAAGTTTATTTTCCGCAAAGAGTTTAAAGCAAAATTTAGCAAGGGTTTGTGCTTAAAAAGTAGAGGAATAACAATCTGCTTAATTCAAGACTTGATATACAAAACGTGTTTCTCATCTCGTTTTAAGGATGTTTCAATATTTTTAGTGAAGAAAAGTCAAAAATACTGATTAAGCAAATGAGTTCTGCAGTGTTATAATATTTAGTGTTCAGTGCAAAAGGCGTTTTAGGGTGCAAATGGATGGATTGTAAAGGTATATTTCGTGACTATGATGTCCTTGTGCATTATTGTACAGTTACAGATTGCTAATGTTGGAGAACAACATGTAAAAATGACTAGTTGCACACGGGCTAGTTTTTCTGTTCGTCTACCGGTCGTAAACGCCACACAAAAATAGACGCCCGTTTGACAAATAACAAGCATTGTGTTTTCCCGATCCTAGACGTCTCCTTGTTTGAGCGTTCTCAGGCATCGTACTGAATGTGCTTTGTGAACAAATGAGTTAATTCTAGGGATGCAAAACTAAAAACCTGCCAACGACATGGTATCTTTATATGCTTTTGAAGATGTTTAAGCACGCCAGGCCTAGGTAGTGGGCGATGCATGGCGAAAAGTCGCAGAAGAAACCGAGAACTAGAAGGCAAAGGAACATTTTATGCATTTCATAATTCCCTCCGAGAAACACGTTCTCCCGACCAGATTCCATAGCACCTTGTGTTGTGACATCACCCACCCATCAGCCAATCACAGAGTCAGATTCAGTCAGAATCAACACCACTTCCTGATGGCACAGAGCAGGAGGGCGCACACAGGAAAGAGAGAGACCTCACTTCCTCTCCAGTAACGCGAGCTTCCCGCGGGTTCACTTGCGGACGGCCTGCCGGTAGCTGTGTCTCTGGCCCTGTCCGCGGGAGCAGCTGTTGTTGGGCTCTTGTGGGACACATGCGGTGTTGGTCTGGCTCGGGCCGTCTCTGGTGCTGCAGGTCAGACTGCTGTCCTGTAGTGTGGGACTGGATTGAGCTCTCTGTAACGCCCCTTCCTCCAGGAGCATGGACTCGAACACAGACAGGTCATCGCCGCCGCAGCGCTGCTTGGCCCGCAGGAGCATGCTGTACGTCTCGTAGCGCGTTTTCTGACAGAGAGAGAGACATTTTGTCAACATTCAACTGTGCATTGCATTGTGGGCAGCCATTTTGGCAGTAATAGGTCATCAGGGAGTATATATACAGTACTGTGCAAAATGCTTAGCCACCAAGTACTTTCACCCCAAAAAATGGTTTTAAGCCAGTTATTTATATATTTTGCTGTAGTGTGTCAGTAGGAAATATCACTTTACATTTCCAAACATTCATTTTGCTATTAATTGTAATAATCCAGTGAGATTTTTGTATGCTCAATGAGTCTGAAAACAGCCGGTATGATCTGATCTCACTATCATTGAGTTTGTCTGTGATTACATGAAGAAACAGAAAAAACTGAGACTAAGGCCCCATCCACACTACTGCGTTTTAGTTTAGAAACGGATAATTAAAACGAATACAATCTCCGTCCACACCAGCGTTTTAGCGGCGTATTAGAATTGATCTCCGTCCACATTAAAACGACTGAAAACTCGTATCACGTGACCATTCACTAACACTGGGCATGCGCGTGCCGGTGTAAACACAACGTCATTGATAAAATTATCCCACCATGCTCTGGGTTAACCCCAAACCGACGGTCCATGTACGGTCAACGCCGCCGCTGCACACGGGAATTGTCACAGATCGCTGGAATAATAGCTTGACTCCGGCGCATGTAGGCAGTTATAGCGTTGTAAAATGCAGAATTTACTTGTACAACAGCTGCTAGCAAAGATATACACCATGACTGATGACACCCAATCAAAGGTATCCATAAGATATAAATAACTGACTTAAAACCATTTTTGGGGGTTAAAATATTAGCGTGCCTAAGACTTTTGTCTTACTGTATATAAAGCTGGCGGTCAAAATCCTTCAATCTCCAAAAACACTACTTTTCAGGAAAAGGAAAAACACTATTTTTTTTTAAATACCCCAAACTTTTGAACGCTATGGCACATGTACAGTGTGCACTACACTAGAAGTACTAACCTCAAACTCTAGATACTCCTCTCTCAGTCGGTACTCCTCAAGTTCACGACCTTTCACCTTTCGGTCAGGCGGATAAGAGCGCAGTTGTACGAGCTCGGTGGAGATGGAGCGAAATCGTGTTTCATGAGCCTGTACCTGCTCCTCCTACACACACACACACACAGTTTATAATACCGCAGCTTATATAAACGCATATACAAGCACGTCTCTATTCCAACTAACACATAGTGAGCTACTGCCTACATCACGCAAATAGGTAAAATAATTATTCAAATGTATTGTTTTATTAAACAATTATATAATATTTCTAAAATTATTATTCATATTTGTTTTATTCATATTTTATATTCTTATTACCATATATTTAGTATTTATACTAATTTCTTAACATTAGTTAATGCATTAGTTAAAGGTGCATTGCGCAACTTTTCATGTTAAAAATACCTGTTTTTCTATCCTATACATGCTTAAAGAACTGCCTGATGGGCTGAATGAGCCCTTCTCTGCGCACTGAGATTACCTCTATAATCCTGTACAGTAAAATATATAAGAGGGATTCGGGCTCGAATTTGAGACTGGGCGTGACGTCATGCGCGTTCACGCTCACCAGGCTATGTCTCGCAGGTTTGTGTATTCGCCGGCGCCGCCATTCCCCGCATCAGCGAAGACAACTCGCGCGTCAAAGGTAGAAGATGGATTTAATGAGACCGGCTTGTAGTCCATTCCAAACCCCAACTCCACGTAAAGTAAAGAAAAAAAAAATTGTGTCTAGTGCCACCAAAAGGTCCAAATTGGAGTCAGACAGGCGTCGGAGTAAGACGAGAGTCAACCGCGGGAAGGCATTCAACAAATGGAGAGATCTCCGGTCTGCTCTTGGTCTCAAACGGGATCCTCAGTTGGCTTTTTGCTTGATAAAACGGTAAGATATAGCCCAGTCTCTAATGTTTGATACGGCCAATCTATGTATGACAACAAATGACGATGCGTAAAAGGTGTAATGCTTTAGCGTAAGCTAGATACATGTACAATCAGAATTGGTTTTACAACCATTGTTAGTGAACAGTTTCATAAACTAGGAATTGTGTTCGGAAGAATAGTACAACATGAAACATAAAACATATCCAATAAAAAATGCGTGTGGTCCATGAGCGTGCACAACTCTGGTTGCAGTTTCGCTTGTCGCCAGAGGGGGCGTAGTTCTGCAAAAACTCAGAGACTTGCGTTTTGCACCTTTAACAAGAACCAACTATGAAAAATATATATTTTTACAGCATTTATTAACCTTTGTTAATATTAGTTCATATAAATACAATTCTTCATTGTTTGTTCATGGTGCATTAACTAATGTTAACAGATAACACACTTTGATTTTAAAAATGTATTAGTAAATGTAGAAATTAACATTAACAAAGATTTAAAATGCAATATTAGTATTGTTTATTGTTAGTTCATGTTAACTAATGTAGTTAACTAATGTTAAAAAATGTAACTTTATTTTAAAGACTTATATTTGATAAGGACAAGATACACATATGACAACATTTATGCTATTCTGATCATTTGACCTGTGATAGTTTGGAGGCGGAGCCTGGCAGCAGCGGTCGACTAAACTTCTTCTGTGAGCCAATGGCAGCAGGGAGGGGCGGGGCTGAAAACATGGCCGCCACTGTGTTGATGCGTGTGATCCAAGACTGCATTTGTTCAGCATTCCTACACAAACAAATCAAATAACTTTTTTAATAAAAAGTCTAAGATAAGTACAAGACTTTAACAGAGTGTGGGTTCTAGTATACTTCATTTTCTCAAGCAGTAACATTTGAAGACAGACCAAGAATGAGCTCTGCGGTTGTTAAATGATGGTACAGAAGCAGTGTGATGATCATATTTTAAAAAACAAAACGTGTTTAATTATCCTAGTGAAGAACAACATGACCTATAATCCTGAAGACGGGTCCACCAATCTGAGAAGATGTGGAATCGCAGTAAAAAAAAACAGTGTTTATGTGTGTATAAGTGCAAACATGTACCCACAAAAAAGTGGATTTTCCAGCACAAGCAATGAGAGCTGAAACTGGGGCAAACTTCAACTAGAGCAGAGCGAGTTCTCCTGGGGAACGGGAATGTGTGTGAACACACACACAAAAGGCAGAAACCCAGCCGACGGGACTACATGAGTGTTTTGTCATAAATTGGACCAAAAAAATGCCAAATGCTGAGCCTCGTGCTGTACAGATGATTTATTTCAGTGATTTATTCCAGTTAAAGATTACTGTTTTTGCTTTTTGTGTATAATGCACATAGATGCTTAAGTGATTTCCACAATTGTGTGACACAGATTTGTACATCTGAATGCTCATTTATCTCCTGAGATCTTTTTGCAATGCTGTGTCACATAATGCATTTCCAAGTTAAACAGTATATTGAACTGGAACATAATAAAACGTAGGACGGGACTTGACTTTATCTGTGGGGAATTTACTGTGATGTCTCTGGATGAGAGGAGGTTGGCAGGGAGCAGATGGAAAATAAGCGGAAAAGGGAAAATTGTTTTAGAAGTGGAGTTATCACATTCTGATGACTATGGCACATTTCCTCAACAAGTTTACGGTCTTTGAACTCACGGCGCCTGAAAGAGGTAGACTCTCCAGTCAGCGGTCCGGAGGTAAAACACGTTTGGCCGTTTGCTGTAGTCTGTGGCTCGGATGGCCAAGGAATGGTGAATCGACACAGCATTCTTCAAATCCTCATCGGAAAGCTGTTTATCCGGCCGATACTCGCCCTGGAAAAACAATTATCCCGTAATTAATTCAATACATGCATCAGAGATGACCTCATAATACACTCTCGTAATCATTACTGATTTATTGATCATATTGTCATTCTATTCATTACGTATATTACCATCAAACTGTGTATATCTGGGAAGATGCAACAGCTGTTGGGTTTATATTAAGGCAAACAAATATTATTTGTTTGAAAGGCACTAAATATTGGCAAAAGTGCCGTTACTTAATATACCGATGAGTTATCATTAAACTGTATAATGAACAAATCACATATATAATCACACATACAGTATGTGGAGGGATTTAACAGACTCAGTTAAAATAAATAAATATTTAATATTAAAATATTTAAAATATGTCATTAAATGTAATAATAAAAATAAAAAACTACAATTAAATGTAAAAAATACATTCATTTATTTTATACAATTGTATTAAAAAATGATTTATGTAAAACTAAAAAGGAAGAAGGAAGGAAGGAAGGGAAGAAGGAAGGGAAGGGAAGGGAAGGGAAGAAGGAGGGGAAGAAGGAAGCACAGAAGGAAGGAAGGAAGGAAGGAAGGAGGGGAAGAAGGAAGAACAGAAGGAAGGAAGGAAGAACAGGAAGAAGGAACAACAGAAGGAAGGAAGGAAGGAGGGGAAGAAGGAAGAACAGAAGGAAGGAAGGAAGGAGGGGAAGAAGGAAGAACAGAAGGAAGGAAGGAAGGAAGGAAGGAAGGAAGGAGGGGAAGAAGGAAGAACAGAAGGAAGGAAGGAAGAACAGGAGGAAGGAAGGAAGGGAAGAAGGAAGAACAGGAGGAAGGAAGGAAGGAAGGAAGGAAGGAGGGGAAGAAGGAAGAACAGAAGCAAGGAAGGAAGAACAAGAGGAAGGAAGGAAGAACAGAAGGAAGGAAGGAGGGAAAGAAGGAAGAACAGAAGGAAGGAAGGAAGGAAGGAAGAACAGGAGGAAGGAAGGTAGAACAGGAGGAAGGAAGGGAAGAGGGAAGAACAGGAGGAAGGAAGGAAGGAAGGAAGGAAGGAAGGAAGGAAGGAAGGAAGGAGGGAAAGAAGGAAGAACAGAAGAAAGGAAGGAAGGAAGAACAGAAGGAAGGAAGGAAGAACAGGAGGAAGGAAGGTAGAACAGGAGGAAGGAAGGGAAGAGGGAAGAACAGGAGGAAGGAAGGAAGGAAGGAAGGAAGGAAGGAGGGAAAGAAGGAAGAACAGAAGAAAGGAAGGAAGGAAGAACAGAAGGAAGGAAGGAAGAACAGGAGGAAGGAAGGAAGGAAGGGAAGAAGGAAGAACAGGAGGAAGGAAGGAAGAACAGGAGGAAGGAAGGAAGGAAGGAAGGAAGGAAGGAAGGGAAGAAGGAAGAACAGGAGGAAGGAAGGAAGAACAGAAGGAAGGAAGGAAGGAAGGAAGGAGGGGAAGAAGGAAGAACAGAAGGAAGGAAGGAAGAACAGGAGGAAGGAAGGAGGGGAAGAAGGAAGAACAGGAGAAAGGAGGGGAAGAAGGAAGAACAGAAGGAAGGAAGGAAGGAAGGGAAGAAGAAAGGAAGGAAGGAAGGAAGGAAGGAGGGAGGAAGGAAGTAAGGAAGGAAGGGAAGAAGAAAGGAAGGAAGGAGGGAGAAAGGAAGGAAGGAAGGAAGGAGGAAGGAAGGAAGGAGGGGAAGAAGGAAGAACAGGAGGAAGGAAGGAGGGGAAGAAGAAAGGAAGGAAGGAGGGAGAAAGTAAGGAAGGAAGGAAGGAAGGTGAAGAAGAAAGTAAGGAAGTAAGGAAGGAAGGGAAGAAGAAAGGAAGGAAGGAGGAAGGAAGGAAGGAAGGAGGGGAAGAAGGAAGAACAGGAGGAAGGAAGGAGGGGAAGAAGGAAGAACAGAAGGAAAGAAAGAAGGAAGGGAAGAAGAAAGGAAGGAAGGAGGGAAGAAGAAAGGAAGGAAAGGAAGTAAGGAAGGAAGGGAAGACGAAAGGAAGGAAGGAGGAAGGAAGGAAGGAAGAACAAGAGGAAGGAAAGAAGGAAGGAAGGAAGGAAAGAAGGAAGGAAGGAAGGAAGGAAGGAAGGAAGGAAGGAAGGAAGGAAGGAGGGGGGAGGGAGGAAGTAAAGAAGGAAGGAAGGAAGATAGAAACTCACCTTCTGCAGGTAAAGGATGAGTCCCTTAAGAACAGCATAAAATGTTTTCCATCCTCTTTTCCCACGAGGTGCTGCATTTCACATGAAAAATAAACAAACAAAAATGTAAACAGATTTTTATTATGCAGGTAAATGGACTAAATATATCAATACATTGGTGTTGACTAAAGAGTTTTTGATTGAAACCCACTACACCTGCATTTCCTATAATAAATAAATATTTTTTGTTGGCAGAGGTTTTTACACCTCAGAGGAAATAATATTATTTGCATTCTGTGGCATTGTATGCTACTCGAAAATAATATTAAACTATGTACATGCATGCATTGTACATTTCAGAATCAGATAAAGGTTTTAAATCTCTAATATACCGGATATATAATATTATAGCATAACAAAAATGGGTAACATTTTATTTTAAGGTGACGTATTTACATTGTTAGGGTTAGTAACTTGTAATTATGAATAATTTACTACTATATTAAGTACATGTAGTAACGTGTAAATAAGTGTTGCAAAAAATTGTGTGTAAAGTTTAAAGATACTATTTGAAAAGATAAAACTTCCAAAACTTCCTTAAAAAGAGCAAAAAGTACTTCTGCTAATGTCCTAAATATAAAGTTCTTCATAACTCACAGTAAGGTATGTGTAATAATAATCTAGGAATGTTGCGTCCTCTTTATCACTCACTTCTCTTTCCATCACAGTCAGCGTGGACCTTCCTCACCAAGAAACCCGTTTTATAGAGAAGTGACCCAGACGGAGAAACCAAACCACTGCCCGTCCGCTTCATTCCTCGGGAGTTTGGCTCGTCTCGGTGCTCTCCCAGCTCCGAAAACGACTTGCGCAACTCTTCTTCATCGCTGAGGGAAGAAACAAAACAAAACAAAAGAAAGTACTGACCAGGAGGAAGTGCATAAAAGAGGAATATGAAACAATTAACTCATTACAAAAATTAATACAATATTGAAAATATGTCATGAAATGTTGCAATATATAAATAAAAAACTACAATTAAATGTAAACATAAATACACAAGGCAGGAAATACATTTTTATTATAATTTTTTATTTATGAAATTAAATAAACAAATGCCTATTTATACTAACACGACTTGCGCAACTCTTCTTCATCGCTGAGTGAAGAAACAAAAGAAAAGAAAAGAAAGTACTGACCAGGAGGAAGTGCATAAAAGAGGAATACAAAATAAAGTGATCTCACACATAAGCTGCGTTCGTGATAATCATGGTGTTATTTTTACCATGGAGTGCCACGGAATTATTACAAAACCAGGAATTAAATTGAAACGCCTCATATTTTCCTTTTAGTTTCTATTAATATTGCTTATTACTGGAACAGACCCCTATTAAACACGAACAATTCATCCCACATCATTTGTGTCACAGACATGGACGAGGCCTCAGATCCCGCGGAGTGATCGAGATAACGTGACGGGACAACATCTAGTGTTCTTTATCCTGCAGTAACTGTGGGAAGAAATCCAGTTTAAAATGGTGTTTAAAGACTATGGGAGTTTGGATCCAGCCCTTGCCAGACTCGCTGTGATATTTCGGGCCTGTCCTGCTGTGTATCCCGCCTAGAGTGAATGAAAGTCTTTCCCCTCTCCACCTCACTCCCCAGAGAGAGGCAGACAGTATGGATCGAGTGAGTGTTGAAGTAAAGCGCTCTTCCCAGCGGGATTCTCCCTCACATCTGAAACCAGAGGACGGATGCTTCACTGCAGAAATCACATCAAAGAAAGGCTTGATCCTACAGGACAAACAATTACCGTACGCCACTGTGAGCCGAGGTTAAACGCACTGGTGTATTAAAGCCCTCATACCATGAAAATCTCATTTATTTTTGGTGCCCCTATTATGCTATTTTAAGTCTCCTACAATAGGTTTACATGCATTCAAGGTCAAAAACACTTTCATTTTGCCATAATATACGCAGTGGCGGATTTAGCAAATTGGGGGCCCAAGGCGAAGGTAGTATGCGGCCCCCCATCCGATCTTTAAAAGAGAATAAAAATAAAAATAAACATTTTTTGAAAAATAAACCATTAAATGGCACTTTCTGGAGAGTTTTGTGCAAAGAAATATAGAAAAAAAGTAGGTCTAGCAAGTCTTATATTTCTGTAATTCACACAGATCAAACACAAATATGCCGACTGAATAGATTGCTAGTTGAGAAACACTGCTTTAATTAATGTTTTTATGATGACTTTGTGAAAGGTTAACTAAACAGCATGAGCCGTCTTCCAGCTGTAAGTTATTTGGCAAATTTCATTCATACAGATCTGTATTATGCTATAGTTTTTGATAGTGTTATACATTTCTTACAGATAATCACGATGATCATTGCGTTTGTCTTGCCGAATGTGGTAGCTTTATGCAATTACAGTTTGTCTATAAGCTTTTTTTTTTATTAATGCCGACAGTAAAATGTTGCCAGATATTGCTACGAAAAACAAGAAAAACAAAACAAAATAATAATAATCCGAAATAAGTACAAAGCTTGTGTTTTGGAAATAAGGTTAATATATCACTAACCCTAACATGCAACTTTCCACTTTAATAACTTCCTAAAGTGTCACATTAAATCAGAAAAACAGGTCCAGGAGACTACTGCCACCTTTCCATTAGGTGGATCTGGCAACACGGAGGCTGCACCCGCGCCCTCACTCACAGCGCGCTCTCAAGCCCCGTTCACTGCGCTAGCTTCTCGCAGCAACACGAATTGCAAACACTCATATGAGGTGGTTTAAACGGCTAATTAATCATTCAGAGAGCTTGACATTTTATTTTTGAATGTAAAAAAAATGACAGAGTTCCGGACCTCGGTGACCTCATAGCTGGCTACGACCATGGACTTGTAACATATCGTTGTCATTGTTGTCATTGTCAGCGGGCATCACAAAAAAGTTTGTTACCTTCTGCAATTTTGCTAAAAACGGTTTGCTTTCCTCCCGCTTCCTGCTTTTTCAGCACCGCTTCGCTTCATTTTTACTCTGTCTATTACTCTGTACACCGTCTGTTAATCACTTATTTTTCTCCGTCAGTTTTTTTGGCGCATTACAGCCTTGTCACTTTCGCACGCAGAAAGTGAGATAATGGAATAGTCCAATGTAGTGAGGGTGGGGGCCCCTCCCCTGTCTGCGACACTAATGATTTGATGCCTTTTTTCGCAAATGTTTTTTAGAAATATATAATTTGCGAAAAGTAAAAAAAAAAAAACTTAAGCATAATTTAATGGGGCATTTTGGGGACCCCTAGGTAGCTCGGGGCCCAAGGCAATTGCCGACCTTTGCCTAATGGTTAAGTCCGCCCCTGATTGCACATCACCTCATCTCAGGCCCCGTTTACACGAGAACGATTCCGAGTGAAAACGTAAAAATATTTTATCGGATGTGCCTTTCGTTTACACGGCAACGGCGTTTTGGAGGCTTAAAAACGCAAAAAAGTGAAACCACCTTCCAGAGTGGAAATCTTAAAAACGCTCCAACGTTGCGTTCCCGTCTAAACGGTAAAAACGCAAATCTGCTCACGGCGGCTCTCGTCGCGTACGCGTTTACGTCACATGCATGCGCCAGTACAGGAAAATAACAACCAACATGTCAGATTATTTCCATACGTCGGACCTTTAAGTTGCCCTAGCAGCTCTGAAAAACATACAAGAGTCTTTTCAGCAGTTGTACAAAATATTCTAAGATATTGGTGTTGTTGTGTGGCAGTGCTTCACATTGCCACCTAGCCGCCTGGAGTGCACACTACATCGAATTTCACACACTTTAACGTCACCATATACACGCGGATTTCCCAACCAAAACGCTCGTCTAAACGCAGAATAAAAAGTGATAACGCAACGCCACTTTTGCGTTTTCTCTTCAGATCGTTTCCGTGTAAACATAGCCTCAAAGAGTCTGAAAATGGTTAATTCAAAGATTTGTGCTGCGTCCCAATTCGCATACTATCCGTCTTAAATAGTATTCGAAAATAGAATTAGTACGTCCCAAATCGTAGTGTGTTGAAATGAGTGTCCCGAAGAGACCCGGATGGTCTACTATATCCGGTCAGAATCCGAAGTGCAGATCGATGCGCACTCTAACGGCTGATATTGCCCACAACCCATCGCGCGTTGGACGAGGATTCGGTTAGAACTACAAACACAAGTGAAAAGTGTTAAAAAACTACAGACATGGAGGACGCGCAAGTCCGACGGTTATGTAGAGAGGTTTAGATAAAGGGGTTTGAGTGATTAATTATCAGTATCTAACCTGACGAAAATGTATTTATTCAATGTTGTCCACATTATATTGCATCTGCAGCAGCATTGTGAACTTTTGCAAAGATACGTTCAGCCATTAACTTTTAAATGCATTATTATATTCAAATTCCAAACACATGAGGAGAGTCTCGGCATGAAAGACCCATGACTGGCAGATGAACGTGTGACAACAATTCTCTCTGAAATGGTAAGAAGTCAGGGCCGGCGCTAGCCATTTGGGTGCCCTAAGCACAAATGCTTGGTGGTGCCCCCCCACTCCCAATCACCAACCCAAGGAATAACAAGCATTCAGAATTTCTTAGTTAGGTTCTCTTTACTTCCAAAATAACTGCTGCAAATAAATCATTTTACATTAACAATGGCACCAAATATGAAAAGAAATAAATAATATAAAGGTTAAAATTATAAATAAATACCAAAAACCACCACAATTACTAAAAACACAGATTTGGAACATGAATGATATATGTGTACTGTGCATATTTTGTATATATATAAATACACATTTGCATGTATGTATTTAAGAAATATTTGTTATTTATATATAAAATATTTAAATGTATATATAATATAAATTATATATAATTATATACAGTACATACATGCAAATATTTCTTAAATATATACATGTGTGTGTATTTATATATACAAAATAATTATACACAGTACACACACATATATCATGTAGACACAAACTTTTATTTTGGATGCGATTAATCTTTTCCCAGCCCTAATAATTTGACAACTCTGTGAATATGAAAATATACATACACTGAGATTGTTTTTTTTTTTTTTTTATCTAATTGCAGTTTCACCAACAGATGTCGCCCTTGGGCCTTGGCCTATGAACCTCTTGAAAATTATCCGCATAGAACAACAACGAAAAAACGTATCTAAGCGGTCTTCCTCTTCTTCTCAAACAAACTAACTGTATCTTAAACAGCCCAAGTTTCAAAATTCGAGAAACCCCCGGACCCCCGTTAAAATAAAAGATTCAACATGCAGGGCTAAAAAAGCCCCGGATCATTTGCACTACTAGCGACGCCCCCCTGGACATGCATTCACGACGCAAGGGCGCCCGCGCTACAAAACTAACATTTTTATTTAAAACATTGTCTACCTGCAAGCGACGCGCGAGTATCATCCCGCTGTCTATTCTTTTTCCTTTTTTCCGCCCCCAACTCTTGGTGCCTTTTCGAGGCCATGTCTGAGGTCGGTGTCTGCCAAATTTTACATTGATTGAGGCATAATCGAACAGACCACTGGGAGGTGGGGAAGGGGGGGCACCAGAGGGAGACTGGCACAGGAGATTCACCTTTTTCTCGACTAATTTGGTCTAGGCCTATATTACTTTTGTATTGCTTTTGTATATTAACATGCTTTAGACATTTTTTATTTGTTATTTATACTAGTAGCCTATTGTGATGATTTTTCACGACCCAGATTTTTTGGTGCCCCCCCAAGCACTTGGTGCCCTACGCGCAGTGCGTGATGTGCGTGTGCGGAGCGCCGGCCCTGTAAGAAGTTATATTAGATTGAATGAAGGATTTTAACTGTGACGAGATGATTGACA